GCACCCGCTCAACAACCCATCCCTGATGATGTCACTCGACGCCTCGATAGCTTGGAAAAGCTAGTAGCTGAACACCGAGGTGCTCCACCCCCACACCATGCTATGGACTCCATACCTCACCCTCTAAATACCAATATTACACTGGAACCCTATCCTGCTGATTTCAAAATACCACAATTGGAGACTTATGACGGGACGAAGGATCCTGATGATCATTTGCATGCTTTCTACTCTTGCATGCAAGCTCAGAACGCCTCTGACGCGTTAATGTGCAAAATCTTCCCCTCTACTCTCCGAGGTAATGCCCGAACTTGGTATTACAGTTTACCTTCGAGGTCAATTAGCTCTTATACAGAAATGGCATCTGCCTTTGCCACTAAGTTTTCCAGTAGAAGGTTGATTAGGAAAACTACTTCTGAGCTGATGCGAGTTAAACAGAGGGATGGAGAATCTCTGAAGAACTATATGAGCAGGTTCAATGATGCAGTTTTAGAGGTTAGTTCCTTTGATCAAGCTGTGGGAATTGCAGCTGTGATCAAGCTGTGGGAATTGCAGCTGTGATCTCTGGTCTCAAGCATGACAGGTTCAGAGACAGTTTGATCAAACATGCTGCCACCACCTTTAGCGAGGTGAATGATAGGTCTCTCAAATTTATAACTGTTGAGGAATACGCCCTGGCGCAAAACCCACCTTCCTCTAAGAACCAGAACTCAAATTGGAGAGATGACAATCCAAGCAGAAAAAGGATGAGGATGGCGCAGAACCGAGGTCTGATGTTGACCTCCCCAACGAGAGTCGGAAGGCCGAACTCAACACCCCCGCAATAATTTGCAGGTAAACCTCCAGTTAATTGGACTCCCTTTAATCTGCCGAGGTCACAGATTTTTATGCAGATTAAGAACAAAATGGATTTGAGACGTCCTGACCCAATGCGAACTGCTGCTGCTAGTTGAGACCATACCAAATATTGTGATTTTCATCAAGATCACGGCCATACTACAGAGTAGTGTAACAGCTTAAAGTCCGAATTGGAAAGTTTAGCTTAGAAGGGAATGCTAAATGAGTATGTTCAAAGAGTTGAACAGCTGAAGTTTATCAGAGAGCAGAGGCCGCAGCCTCAAGGAGTCCGCAATCCCCCAAATAGGCAAGGTGTGGGATATCAGCAAGCCCCACCTCCACTCCCACCCCCAGCCAGAATCATACATATGATTACGGGAGGCCTTGATGTAGGTGGACTAAGCTCTAAGCAGTGAAAGCTGTATGTCAGAGAGGTTAAACATCAAAACCGAGCTCAGAAGCGGAAGATTGACGATGCTGAGTGGAAGAATCAACCCATTACTTTCACATTTGTTGATCTTGATACAGTTGTTACACCCCACAATGATCCCTTGGTCACTTCTGTCATAATTAACAACTGTGAAGTACAGCGTGTCCTTGTTGATATCGGAAGTGCACCAGATATCATGTACTTCCATTGTTTCGAGAGTCTTGGGCTGGATCTAGCGTTGTTGCAGAAATATGATGGTCCTATTTATGGCTTCAACAACCAACCTGTTCCGGTGGAAGGAGTTCTTACCCTCCATGTGGCTTTTGGGAGTGGCCGGACCTATGTAACCCCTTTAGTCCGGTTCCTCGTAGTCAAAATGGTGTCCTCTTTCAACATTGTTATCGGCCGACCCACACTGACTGAAATCCGAGCTGTGGTTTCCCAGTCTCACCTCTGTATGAAGTTCCCAACCCCTATGAGAATAGCAACACTGCGAGGAAACCAGGAGGTGGCCAGACATTGTTATATCACCTCGGTAACACAGCCTACGAAGGGCAAAGATCAGACACCCGAGGCCATTTCCCAGCAAATTCCTAATACTCAGCAAGTTATGGGTGTAGAGATTGTAGATAATCGACCGGAAGATGAAACCAGGGCTGCTCCGGTCGAAGATGTTGAAGAAGTGCTCATTGATGACAGAGATCCGAGCCGAAAGACACAAATCGGAACTAGATTGAACCCGAAGGAAAGAGCAGAGCTGATAGCTTTTCTCCGAGCTAACAATGATGTATTCGCATGGACTTTGGCAGATATGCCAGGAATTCCAAAATCAATGTCTCAACATAAGCTCAGCACCAATCCATTGAAGAAACCAGTGGCCCAGAAGCGGCGTCTCTTCGGGGGGGAGAGGCTTCAGGCTATTAAAGAAGAGGTAGAGAAACTTCTACAAGCTGGTTTCGTCAGGAAAGTTGATTACTACGAATGGGTGGCTAACCCAGTCCTGGTGAAGAAGGCAAATGGTAAATGGCGAATGTGTATCGATTACACAAATCTTAACCACGCCTGCCCTAAGGATTGCTATCCGATGCCGAGCATTGACAGATTAGTTGAAGTGGCTTCAGGCAATGAGAGGTTAAGCCTCTTGGATGCATATTCTGGGTATCACTAAGTGCCGATGGCTCCTGAAGATGAAGAGAAAACCTCGTTCTATGCTGGCGATGAAATTTATTGCTATGTCATGATGCCGTTTGGCTTAAAGAACGCTAGTGCTACTTATCAGAAAATGGTGACCATCGTCTTCCGAGCTCAGATTGGCAAGAATCTGGAGGTGTATGTCGATGACATCGTAGTAAAGAGCCGGAAAGCAGAAGACCATCTAGTCGATCTCGATGAAACCTTCAACAACCTCAGAAAGAACAGGATGCGGTTGAACCCAGCCAAATGCATCTTCAGAGTGGAATCAAGAAAGTTTCTAGGTTTCATGGTGTCCCGAAGAGGGATTGAGGTTAATCCAGAGAAAATCAGAGCAATTGCCGAGATGGAACCGCCGAAATCAGTAAAAGATATACAGAGGTTGACTGGAAGAGTGGCAGCTTTTCATCGATTCATATCGAAGTCAGCAGATAAGTGCCTGCCATTCTTCAAGATTATGAGGTCGGCCGCCCAGAAGGATGAATCAGGAAAACAGAAGAAATTTGAATGGAGTCAGAAGTGCCAGACTGCATTCGACGAGTTGAAGTCTTATCTTAGCTCGCCACCTCTACTGACTAAGGCCATCGATGGGGAAATTCTTTATTTGTATCTGGGGATTTCAAATGAAGCGATTAGTTCAGTTCTGGTGAAAGAAGAAGCCAAGCAGCAGAAACCAATCTATTACATCAGTAGCGTGCTGCACGGAGCAGAGCTAAGGTATCCTATAGCTGAGAAAGCAGCATTAGCAGTTGTCACTTCGGCCAGGAAGTTGAGGCCATATTTCCAGTCACACCCAATTATTGTTCTCACAGATCAACCTCTCAGGCAGATTTTGCAGAAACCAGAGTGCTCCGGAAGATTAATTAAGTGGACAGTAGAACTGGGAGAGTTTGAGATAACGTTTCAGCAGAGATCGGCCATCCGAGCCCAAGCATTAGCAGATTTTATTGTCGAATGTACTCCATGTCCTTCAACCTCTAATCCAGAGCCCAACGATTGGACCTTATATGTTGCGGAGCATCTAGTAGCAAGGGTTCAGGGGCTGGCGCCCTTTTGATTGGTCCAGAGGGATACCCAAGCGAACATGCCCTAAAGTTCAACTTTGATGCGACAAATAACATGGCTGAGTATAAAGCTCTACTACTTGGTCTACAACTAGCATTGGAGTTGAAAATCAGTGCAATTCAAGTGTACAGTGACTCCCAACTGGTGGTAAACCAAATCAACTCTATTTGTGAAGTTGTTGATCCTGTGATGGTGAAGTATGTAGCTTTGGTGGCCGAGTTGAAGTGCAAATTCCAGAAATTTTGTCTGAGTAAAATCCCCCGAGCTGAGAATGAACAGGTAGATTCACTCTCCAAGTTTGCCTCTGATAGCTCTTTAAGTTCCAGATCCGTTTTGTAGAGATCTTAGATGAACCAAGCTTCATGAAGCCTTGGGTGATGGAGATTAGCACAAACCCAGACACGCCGAGCTGGACTGATTCAATCGTCTCCTTTTTGCGAGATGGGATAGTACCTGAAGACAGGCAGGAAGCAATGAAGTTGAGAAAGAAAGCATCTCGGTATACCCTTGTTGATGGGGTCCTGTATAAGAGATCTTTCTCACTTCCTCTTCTACGGTGTTTAAACCCCTATGAAGCTGAATATGCACTTCGAGAGGTGCATGAAGGTGTCTGTGGGAGCCATGTCGGTGCTAGGACTCTGGCTCACAAAGTCTTAA